CTCCTCCTTCTCCTCCCCCTTAGTGGTAGTCTTTTTAAATTTGGGTCGAAGACATTGTGACCTCAGGTAAATTGCTTAATCTCTTGAAACCCCAGTTTCTCTTGAAACCTCATGTATAAAACTGATAATACTAGTAGTTCCCTTAAAGATTTTTTTGTGTGTGTGAGATTCAAGTGATATAGGATCCTTAGTAGAAGAGTAAGGACAGGGAAATTGCTTAGTTTGTTGCTATTGTTAATGACAATAACCTATCACTTTCCACATAATATATCAATATATTTCCATATCAATAAATATTCACTGGTATGATTTTTAAGGTTGTGTAACTTTCCATTGTATAGCTACCCTATGGTTTATTAGTAATTAAATACTGTGATTCTTTTTGACTGACCACAACACTTCCAGCTAAAATTTGTTGGTTAAATATAAGTGTCTACTTTCATTCTCTCCTAAAACCCTTCAAAAATTATAATGAATGAATTCATGGAATAGGAATAATAGGAGTGAAAAGAAAAATGACAAAATTATGGGAGCAGAAAAGCAGATAATTTAGAAGACCCGATAAAACCGACCATCAAATGAGTGGCAGGAAAAGCCAAGAACTAAACCTTTGTACACCTTGGAACTTCCTTAGGCTTAGGAATTGGCAACTATAAAATAGATCTGGTCATTGGGATGAAAATAGATGCTAAAATAAAAAAGATTGCTTGAAAGTCTGTTTGAGAAGTTTCTGACATCACACTCTCCACTGCCAGAAACTGTCCTTCTGCCACCCTTGAGAGAGATAGAAGATTTCTTCCTCAGAGAGTAAAACTGGGGCTCACCAGGGACATTAGTCACCTTTAAAGCCGGAGGTTTCTCACTGAAACATGAAACATCCCTTGAGATACAATGGATGATGAGTTCCGGAGGGTTCTGGTCCACTCCCTCAGGAATCTGACAGACCCAGAAGGAATGCCTTTGGGAAATACTCTGCTACCGGAATTCTCTCCTCTCCTCCACTCAGCAGACCAATCTGCAGCAAAGCACACGGCTGTCAGTCCCCACTTAAATGATCACAGTCTTTCTTTCCTTGCTCTTAATGTGGCTCAGCAACCAAGTATCACCAGAGATCTGAGGAATGCCCTTACCATGAGAGAGGGAGCTGAAACCAAACAGGGGAAAACAAATTGCTGAACTACAAAGAGAGAGGAAATTTTAAAAAACAAACAAGTGAAACTGGTATTAATATTCTAAACCTTGAGAGAACAGGGGCAAAGAAAAAGAAACAGTCATAAAGCAAAAATAATCTCTTGAAAATTAATAATATTAAGTGAAAAAACTCAGTAGAAGGGTTGAAATATACATTAAGAAAAATTCACAGAAAGTATGACAACAAAAAAAGAAGAAACGTAAACAAGAGAAGAAAAGATAGTTTATAGACAATGATTTTTGGGGAATATTTAAAGAGGATATTTTAAATCATAGAAACCGGCAGAATTTGGAGCTTGAGATAACATTAGAGAAGAATTCAAATTTTTGAGTCAAATTTTTGATTTGCAGTGTCAGACCCTTAAGACAGACACCAGAACGAAATTACTAGTGATCTAATTTTTTTAAAAAAAGTTTTATGCCTAGCACCAACAATGTTATGTGAGGTTTATTGGCAAGTCATAATATCAGTACATTACTTTTTAATCAAAGTAGAAAAAGCATAAGCTAGAAACATGAACTGGTACAAAGAACATCCTCTTTATGTAAGTGTCTCCATTTAGCCTTCATAAGCTCACACAGGACAAGGTTGGGTGAACTCTCAGCTCAAATGGCTACTTCTACAATAACAACTGTGATTCAGTAAAGGAAAATTGTTTAACCACCAGGTTTAATTTTCTTTTACCTTTATTTCTTATACTGCTAAGGTTCATTTGGAATGTCCTTAAGGTTCCATGTATTATAAGGTGCTGAAATTCATTTTGACAAGGTCATATTTATCCTAAAATGAAATAGAGAATTGAGATATTTAAGAAATCTTAGCATTTCATTTCCCTTAAGATATGTAGGTAATTGAGACAAATGTGTTTTTAAAGTTATCCTGCTTTATTTTATTTCTAGGCTTAATCTATGTATACCCCAGGAGACCATAAAGAGCAGGAAATGGTTAAGTACATTTGATTCATGTATCTCAACAGACAGCCAGTGATACCCAATAGAATCAACTGGCATCTTCCATTCCACACCAATTAAATCACAACCTGGGAACTTAGGACCCAGGCAACGGTATTAAAAAGCTATGAAATGATTATAGTATGCAGCAGAAAATTATAATCACTGATAAAGATAATCAAAAATACAATTCAGGTTAAATATACTTTGAAAATTTGGTAATTGTAAAATATCTGCTTTTTGGAGGCTGTCTAGATATTGTGTTCAAATTGGTGACCACACTTGGTTAATTATTTTATATCTGGCACTAGGCTTGTGTGTGTGTGTATGTGTGTGTGTGTGTGTGTGTGTGTGTGTGTGTATTTTCCCAGCATTTAGGTGCAGTAAGTCAGGAGTTGGAGCAAGAAGTGAAAAATTGATAAAATTCTTGGAGTGCTTAGATAGCTTGGAGAAAAACCCGTCAATAAAAAAGTAATATTTCTATTGAAGAGAACAATAATCCTATATCTAGTTTTTGTACCTTCATAGGAAAAACTTTAAAACCTACTGTCAGGGTACTGAATGTGGATCAACATTGATAAGCTACAGAGACAATCATGGTCTCTTTGATGCCTTGTGGTGAGAGCCCTTCAATGATGTGAGGAAATGGTCACTTGATCCTAAGGATTACCTTCCTAATTGGCTCCAGAGAAGATATACATATGTTTTTGAGTAATCACTCTGTTTTTTTCCCCTAAGTTCAGTGGCATTTTCTCTGAAGAGATAATAACAGAGCTAGCCTAACAGTGGAAAATAACCTCAGGCAGTCTATTTGAGATGGAGAAGGAGGAGGAGGAGGAAGAGGAGGAGGAG